AAAAAAAAAAAAAAAAAAAAAGCAACAGGGAAAACACACTGAAAGGATAAAGGGGCCAACCTGAAGGGCCTCCCACTGGAGGATAATTTGTAGCTCAAAATAAACAATGATATTAACAGATTATAACCCATTGAATAAAATAAGAAACCAAGAGTTCATGCAGATATATTAAAACTAATTAAAGTTCCTCAAAAAATTAAAACATGGAATCACCATATGATCCAGGAATTCCAGTTCTAAGAATATATCCAAAATAACTGAAAGCATGGATTCAAATAGGTATTTGTATACCCAAGTTCATAGGAGCATTACTCACAAAAGCCAAAGATGGAAGCATCCTGAACATCCACAGATGGATGAATGGATGAACAACAAGGATGAACCTTGAAGACATGATGCTAAATGAAATAAGCCAGTCACAAAAGGACAAATACTTCCACTTATATGAGGTACATAGAGTCACGTTCATAGAAATAGCAAATAGAATGGTGGTAGCCAGGGGCTGGGAGAAAGGGACAATAGGGAGTTGGTGTTTAATGGGTACAGAGCTTCAGTTAGGAAAGATGAAAATGGTCTAGAGACGGATGGCGGTGATGGCTGCACAGCAGGGTCAATACACTTAATGCTACAGATCTGTATACTTAAAAATGGCTAAAATGATCAATTTTATGTTATGTATATTTTACCACAATTTTAAAAAATACAAGAAAAAGCTCTTTGCCGCAAAATCACAAATAATAAATGTAGAAGGAATGATGGAATTTCAGGAGGGACAGGAGAGTTACAGCAATTAATTCAAAGTATCTCCCCACAAAATGCTCAATTAGTTGTTAATTAATAAGTAAAAAAAATACTTACTAATGAACTTCTCAGAGGAGAAATTTTACAGATACTATTCTAACCAATTTATAAAATTAACAAGGCTGGCTGGTTAGCTCATTTGGTTCAAGCGATGTGCTGCGAACACCAAGGTCCAGGGTTTGATCCCTGTAACAGCCAGCCACCAAAAAAAAAAAAAACCAGTTAACATTGCCAGTTGTGAGTTAAAAAGGCATTGCATGCCTCCCAATATGATGTACTGAGAAGAACACAGGGTCATTTCTGTGATATTACTGCAGAAAATACATTACCTAAATCTAATTATGAAGAACATCAGACAAACCCAAAATAAGTGACCTCTACAAACTAACTGGCATCATGTACTCTTCAAAAATGTCATAACCTTAAAAGATGGGGAGGGGAGCAAATTAAAGGCTAGTACAAGACAGAATTATATGATCCTGGACAATATCATGGAGCAGAAGGAAAGGGGCAAAAGGGAAGAAGAGTTTTTGTTGCTGTTTGTTTTGTCTTTTGCTATGAGGGACATTACTGAAACAATCTGAAAGGGGTATAAAGATTTGAGAGTAGTAATAATGTAAATTTTGATGATGTACTGTGGATGTGTTATCAAGTATCTTTGTTTATAGGAAAGACACACTGAAGTATTTTGGAGCAATGAGATACCATGTCTGCAACATACTAATGGTTCAGAAAAAATACATACATATGGTATATACAAATATAGTACAATGTTAACTGGTAAATCTGGGTGAAAAGTAAAAAGAAGTTCTTTGTACTATTCTTGCAACTTCTGTATAAATTTGAAATTAATTTCAAAATAAAATGTTTTTAAAACACACAAATGACAAAGTCCATCACAGACAGCACCTGCTTCAGAGGAGTCCTCTCTAGTTTCCAGCAAGATGATTTCCATCATGGATTCCAAAAGTCACCAAGATCCATGCTATGAGAATAATACCTAAAACCAAATTATCTTGGACCTTTATAGGCTAATTCAATGTTTTTAAATGCTCCCAGGAACATAATCCAATAGTTAAATGTTAGAGTCCCGATACTGACAAAAGAGGAACTTTTGAGAGGCTTCTCAACAAATATTGACCCAATTAATATGTACAACAGTGAAGGAGAGAGGGGCGCAAGAGTGAAGAGCTGTCATAAACCATGCATTCAGGACCTGGAGAGCGAACACAGCAGTTAACAGTCTCTGCCCTCATGAAGCTTTCTTTATAATGGGAGGAGACAGAAAATAAAGAAATAACAAGTAAATAAATAAAATGTCAGACAGTGATAAGTGCCACAAAGAGGAATAAAGCAGGGTGAGGGGAACAGGAAGTGTGGGGAGAGTAATGTCATGCTATTTATACAGGGTGGCTGGGGAGGGCTTCAGGAATAAGGTTACATTTGATCAGGAAAGAATGAGACAGAGACATTCAGGTGTAGAGGAGAGGGGCATACCAGGCAAAGAGAGGAACAAGATTAAGCACACACGGGCAGACTATGTTTGATGTGCTCAAGTATGCAAGAGGCCAACGACGCTGGAGATCAGGTAAGTGACAGAGGGGTAGGAGATGCAGCCAGTGAAGTAATGAAGGACCAGACCATGTAGCATCTCAGAGGACACTGTAAAAAATCCAGCCTTTACTTTTTGTGAAATGGGAAAGGACTGGATGGTTTGGGGCAGAAGAGCATGTGATCTGACATATTTTTAAATTATCCTTCAAGCTACAGTGAGAGCAAGGCTAGAAGCACACAGATCAGTCAGAAAGCCTCTGCCATAATCCAGGCAAGAAATGATGATGCCAAGCTGGCTAGTTAGCTCAGTTGGTTAGAGCATGGTGTGATAACACCAAAGTAAAGGGTTCGGATCCCCATACTGGCCAACCACCTTAAAAAAAAAAAAAAGCCACCAGTTATCCAGCCTGGGCCCCCACGATCTACCTGCTGGTCTGCTCCCTTACTGTTGCCCCTGTCATCTCTTCTTTCTTTTTTAAAAATACATTCTAAAGGAATTTCTCAAGTTTGTCCTCTACCTCACCTCTGTGATAGCAGCCTCAAGTGTCCTACTAACTGCTTCTGTCAAGATCTTTGTATTTGGCTATCCTGTTTTCGTTCCTATTTAATCTTTCCTTATCTCAGCCAGCTATTTGGGGGCTGCTCTAAATTTTAGTCATTTTCTTTCTGGATCTTGTTAAGAACACAAACATAAA